TCGAAGGGGTGTGTCAATCATCTAAAAGCATTAGGGTTGATTTATAAAACTTCCACCAAGCCACCAAGCTGGAATTTCTATGCCCCTCGGCTATATCTTGTGGTGGCAATGTCGTGAGACTTCCTGATGGTGACAATAGTGTGCGTCAAACCGATCACTTGAAGTCACCATTGGAGGTCGGGAGAACAACAGAACAGCAGGGACAGAGTGTGGTCACCCAATAACAGGAAATTCCTGCACAAGAACCTTCAGCTGGAAGTAAATGAAAGCTGCCATCCTTAAAAATATTGAGTTACTTTTGAATTGTCTTTAAAATGGTAAAGTAGGATTCTACCTATATTTGCCTGATCCTAAATTGTGGCCACGTTTTTTTGTTCGGGGACCTTAGATTAAAAAGGTTATTACAGTTGATATAATGACCTTTGATATTTATACATTGTGATCATACCCCCCCTCAAGTGCCTCCTCTCTAGAGTGAATAAATGAGTTCTTTGGAATCGTCGCTCCAACCCTCTTATTAAATTTGTTGCCTTTCTTTGAACTATTTCTAGTTGAAGGTCATCCTTTCAAAACTGAACCGCATATTTAAGATGAGACCGAGCCAGGGTTTTATAAAGGGTCAGAATTCAGAATGATGGATTTATCTCCTTAATAGATGTTCTTTTTAATACAAGAGAGTATTCTGCTAGCTTTGTTATCTGCATATTGCCAGTGTATGCTGTGGTTAGGTCTATGATCTACAAGGACCCCCCAAAACTTCTTCCATCACAGATTCACCCAGAGGCGCCCCTCCTACAGACTATACTGTATGCACATGTTTAGCGAAAAGTGCATCATTTTACATTTTTTAATACTGAACCTCATCTGCCACGTAGCTGCCCAGACGCTATATTATCTAGATTGTCCTATAATACAATGACCCCATCTTGTGCCAAAATGTACTTTTCTGCACAATTTAGTATCATCGGCAAACACTGAAACTGAACTCCTATTTTCAACCTCAATATCATTAACTGCCTCCGGGCCGGCCGTAGTAGAAAAACGGCCGGCCTGGAGCTCTCTAGATCTGAGCGGGCGTCTCTAGACGTCCGCTCAGACACGCCCCCTCGCGAGCGGGAAATTGACGTTTTTTTAAAAACAGGCAGCGATGCCTGATACCATACAAGCGATCCGCCGGCTTTAGAGCCGGCGGATCACGTGTATGGGGTGCCGATCGGTTCCCCCCCCTCCGCGGCCACCCCCC